ATGATCCAACGGGCATCAGAAATTGGTGCTACCAATATGAAATTTTCATGGTAATCTATCATACACCGACCAAAAACCGAATATCGCGCTTATTATCCGGCAATGACAATTGCATTATGCGTACATCTTACCACCCCTCTAATTTTAGCTAAAGTGTGCTTCTATTTGCTTTTACTTTCTGTAAGGTTTTATCACTTATTACAAACTACACAGCATCAACAGAACAAACTTTCAGGAGCCAATGTCACAAGCTATAACAACAGCAAGAAGGAAGAAATCAAAGTTAACCAAACGGAGAAATTTCAGAGAACAAGATTTATTTGACAGTAAGCAACCAATAGGATGAAACACCTGCACAACTGAAACAAGACCGATCACGGATCCAGTAAGCATTGGTGGAGTTGATAATTTCGATTTAGGATTAGCTGAATACGCTGAAGGAGAAGCTGAGAGGACCTTCAGCACCTGAAAACATGATAAATGCACCACTTTTCACACCAAGTAATCATATCAAATCTATCATCTCATATTTTATTCAGCAAGAAATCAAGAACTTACCAAGCTATTGGTCGGATTTACAGAATGACCGATTCCCTTAAACAGAACAGGTGCCTGGGGATTTAGCAGTGACGAAAAAGTTAGAAACTTGCCCCGCAAAGGAAAAATTCGAATGGGAAGAGAACGATTAGTATTTTGTTTTTTGCAGAGCATAAGAACTTTTAGCACAAATAATTAGCAATGTACCATCATAAATGCCTAAAGAACTGCAAAAGAATTACACTTATGTGATGTTAGAAAGATCGAAAAATATAATAACGCAATGGTAAACAGTATTCTTAACAACAAGAACAACAACCTAGTGTAATCCCACAAGTGGGGTCTGATAATAAAAAAACTAGAACAAAAGCAACCATGTAGTAATAGAAAAAATCTAAGAATATTGAAATATGAGGATAACACTACTACTACTTAAATCAAAGGAAATACACTCCATTGTCTACTGTCCTTTTACCCTAATTGTCGACCTCCACACCCTCCTATCAAGGGTCATGTCCTTGGTATGCTGAAGATGCACCATGTCCTGGCTAATCACCTCTCCCCAATACTTTTTTCGGCCTATCTCTACCTCTCCTCAAACCCACCATTGTCAATCTATCACACCTCCTCAGTGGGGCATCCGAGCATCTCCTTGTCACATGCTCGAACCATCTCAGACTCGCTTCACGCATCTTGTCTCCCATGGAGGTCACGGCTACCTTGTCCCGAATATCGTCATTCCTGACCATATCTCTCCCGATAACCCCAGATCCATCTCAGTATCCTCATCTCCGCTACATTCATCTTCTAGATATGCGAGTTCTTGACTGGCTAACACTCCGTCCCATACAACATAGTTGGCCTAACTACCGCTTTGTAGAACTTACCTTTAAGTCTTGGTGGCACGTTCTCATCACACAAGACACCGGATGTCAGCCTCAATTTCATCCACCCCACCCCAATACGATGTGGGACATCAGCATCGAACTCACCATTGCCTTGGATTACTTACCCAAGGTACTTGAAACTCTTTTTTAAGAATGGCTTGTGAATCCGACCTCATTTCCGCGTCAGCCTCCTGAGTAACGTCACTGAACTTGCACTCCACATATCCTGGCTTAGTCCTGCTCAACCTAAAATCTTTAGACTCCAGGGTCTATCTCCAAACCTCTAGCCTAGTGTTAACTCCGCTTAGTATTAACTCCGCGTCGTGACTTGTCAATTGGTACTATGTCATCTGCAAATAACATGCACCATGGCACCTCTCCTTGAATGTGTTGCAATAATAAATCCATCGCCAAAGCAAATAAAAACGGGCTAAGAGTTGATTCAGCTGTAACCCAATCACGATTGGGAACTGACCCGATTCTCCTCCCATTGTCCTAAACCCGGTCTTAGCTCCATCATACATGACCTTCATCGCCCTAATGTATGCTACAGGTACACCTTTGGCCTTCAAACATCTCCATAAAAGTTTTTTCTAGGTCAATGAACACCATATACAAGTCCCTCTTCCTATCCCTATACTGCTCTACCAATCTCCTCACAAGATGGATGGCTTCCGTGGTCGATCATCCCGACATGAATCTGAACTGGTTCTCGAAAATAAACACACTCCTCACTCCCATTGTCCTAACCACGGTCTTAGCTTCATCATACATGTTCTTCATCGCCCTAATGTACGCTATAGGTACACCTTTGGCCTTTAAGCATCTCCATAAAACCTCCCTCGGGACCTTGTCTTAAGCTTTTTCTAGGTCAATAAACACCATATACAAATCTCTCTACCTATCCATATACTACTCTACCAATCTTCTCACAAGATGGATGGCTTCAGTGGTCGATCATCCCGACATGAATCCGAACTGGTTCTCGAAAATAAACACACTCTTCCTCACTTGCATCTCCACCACCTTTTCCAAACTTTCATAGTGTGGATTAACAACTTGATACCCCTAATTGTTACAGTTTTGAATATCACCATTGTTCTTGTACAACAACACTACTTCACCTCCATTGTTCGGCCATTTTTAGGACGCATTAAACAACCCAGTCAACCACTCCAAACTTGCCCTACCGCGCTCTTCCAAAATTCTACCGGAATCTCACCTGGCCCTATCGCTCTTCCCTGCTCATCTTACGCATAGCCCCCTCATGCTCCTTAACCTTAATATGCCTATAATACCCAAAATCACGTCGACTCTCGGAGTGCTCCAAATCACCTAGCACAATCATCTTGCCCTCCTCTTCATTCAAGAGTTTATAGAAGTATGTCTGTCATTTTTGTCTAATATGTGCTTCTTACATCGATATTGTACCTTCTTCATCTTTGATGCACTTCATGTGGTCCAAGTCACGTGTCTTCCTCTCTTGCCTTGGCTAGCCTGAACAACGTCTTGTCCCTGTCTTTGTCCCCAAGTTCTTGATACAGGCATTCAAATGCTGCCATCTTAAGTAGTATTTTTAAAAGTGAGAAAATTTTGAATGGTTCATACCGCTATCTGACTAAGTTTTATTATCATTATTGTTATTATTTTGACAAGGTAAGGTTTATTGATATAAGTCAGTGAAAAGGTGGACGTGTACATCAAACAAAAATGTAAGCATTACATGATGTGCTAATGAACTACGGAAGTTAAGCATGCCATCAGGCGCTATCACATTTTCCACTGTCATGTTGCACCAAAAACTATCTATGTTTTATCAAGGCAAGAAACATCAACACAAATGAAAGAAATTCAAATATTACTACGATTATTATCAAGTTATCATGATTAATTACTGTGTGGTACCTTAATCTTTTCACTGCCAAAGATGACTTCAGATTGAATGAGATCATCACCGGCAATTAATGTATGGTCCCCTTCTGTATCAGAAACTGCATAGCTTGTATGATCAATAACCACGGCACTTGGATCCTGTTATCAATCATATTTCAAAGAATAACTAAATAAGCAAAAAATATTGCTAATTTCTCAACTTCAGAGGAGTAAAATAAACTCATAACAATAAAATTAAGAAAAATAAGGAAAGTCACTAAACAAAATCGGATTCCTATTCATATCTTAGTTGTAGAAGGCTCCTAGATCCGGATATTAATCACCAATTCTCAATCACATCAAGCTCATCTAAGCAAGATAAGTAAAAAAGCAAGCAACGTGCACATATTATGAATACGCTACCTCATCAAAATCGACTCCACAGTCAGTTGCAATCTCTCGAATTAGATCAGAGACAGACGCATCCGCAGCAATAATCAAATCATGACCAGAATCAACAAAATCCAGAATACCAGCTGCATCAACTGATCCCCCAAATCCTGAAGAAAATATTTTAAGTTCAAAAGAGTGTATTTAGTTCCTCTCAGGCATGACTTAAACACCCACGAAGCAGTTAACGCATTCCCGAACAACAAACACCGTAATCATTTGTGTTCGAAAATGTAAATCAATCAGAATCACCCATCAACTACATCTAAATTTCAAACTGATTGGGACCCGCCACATGAATCTTGAATATTCATTCTACTCTATCTGAGACAAGTGTTCTCAAAGCAAAAAGCGCAAAAAAGCGACAAGGTCCCTCAGTTCATGGGGCTTGAAACAAAAAGAGAGAAGTGAAGTGCACTACTATGATGATCAAATCGCAATTGGAATAACAAATTTTAGCCTCCAATAAACAACAATGCAATAATTCAGTAATCCAACCCTATTGAGATTCAAAGAAGAACCTCTGCTTTTCTTTTGAAACACTTTGTGCGTCATTGACTGAAACGCATGGACTCACCAGTGACATTATAACTCCTTGCTTCGTCACTTTAAGCACGAAAAGATAGCTTTTAATGACACAGCTAGGACCATTTATTTGCAATACTTAACAATTTGTTTTAAGATACATTCTGGAGAAAACTAGATGCTCTCTAAATATTGTCTACTGAAATGTTCTATATTAATTCTACTATATACAATTTCATCAACATGAATCCTCAGTATCCATTCAACTTCATTTACTTCCGCTAATTCCTAATACTAAAAAAAGATTCCTTTAACATTAATTATTGGTTCTATAAGAACAAAAGTTCTCTGAATCTCACACTTATCCCAACACAAACATACATATCATGATAATACTTTTTGCATCAAATACTTCAAAGCAATGTGGAAATTAGAAGTTCTCTAACTTTCATATATATTTAATCCTATATGTTCATGAAATATAGAAGACCGTAAGAGTTGTCCCCATGCGACCAGGAGGTCATGGGTTCATGCCGTAGAAACAATCTTTTGCAGAAATACAAGGAAATGTTGCATATAATAAAAACAATGTGAACCAACTTTTCTCGAGACTCCGCATACAGAGGGAGCTTAGTGCACTGACTTACCTCTATTCATCCTCTACATCTATTCTTCTCCATTCGAACCCATCATATTACAATATTACATAACTTGTCTTTTAACACAAATTGTTCATTATCTAAAACCAGAGGTTCTCCAGATCTCACACTTATCTTTATAGTTTATACTAACACGCATATCATGATAATTATTTGGCATCAAATTCGAGATGTTGAGAACAAGATAGACACACACACTTACCATCAATGGTAGTGGAAATGAGAATCAAATACACCTCAATTGTTGGGCATATGGATTTTCTATATCTATTTCACTCTATTCGCTCTCATTTTGTTCAAATTTTAAATCTCACACCTATCCATATACTTAACATACATATCTGGCAATTATTTCGCGTCAAATACGAGATGTTGAGAGCAATGTAGAAAAGAAGGGACAGAGAAAACTTACGATCAGTTGAAGGGGAGAAGAGAATCAAGGCGTCATATAAATACTGGCCGTATCTTTGTAAGGCGATCTTTGGATCATCCGCGAGCTTGAAATCGAGATCAAAACCTCGGGATTGAAGGGAGTTGAAGTAGAGAGAGTGTGAAGATTTGATGGCGAAATCGTCAAGCAAGACGAGGACTCGCCGATCCGTAGGGTTTTCCGTAGAGAAGGCATCGCTGAGAATGGCGACAGTGAGGAGTGACACTAAGACTAGTGCTCGTGACATCTTCAACACGTGCTTCTGGCTTCCTAGGGTTCCGACGAGATCTTTATGTAAAAAAGAACCTAAGCTCTCGTGGGTGATTCGATTGGATTAAGAATCATTTTCGAAATCAAATCAAAATGTTTTTAGAAAAACTAAAAACAATTCGAAAATATTTTTTGAAGTGTGAGTGAGTGACAATTATTATTTTACTTAAAATACTCCTCAAATTAGTTTTTAAAATTTATAAGAAAAAGGATCAAAATTATCCCTATTAGTAAATGATAAATAATGTAAAGTTATCCTTCTTTCACCTATTCGTCAAAAAATACCTTTATTTCTATTGTTAAAAGTACTCTTCGATTTAACGGTAGCATATGTGGGCCATAAATTTAATGTGTTTACAGTGTTATACCTGCCGCTTTTTGCTCACCCGCCCCATTTGTTTTATAACCCAAGTTAAAAATGCTTAATCGATGAAATTTAAAATTAAAAAAATCAAGACCTAAAGACACCCCTCTTCTACACATCTTTATTGAATCCTAATCCTAATTCCTGAAATCATCCGAGACACTTTCTTTAAAGTCCAGTACATACGTATCACAAGTTGAGAATAGGCCACATGTGGAGATAGTGATGATGGTGATAGCACCTAAAAAATGTCTTTCCCATCTTCACTGTCCCAAATTGCCGGCCAACTTGATGGTGTTAATGGAGTTGTCACCGCTGCCGTTGGAACTCTTTCTTTTTCTCCTTTATTTCTTTCTTGATTGCTACTTGCTCCTCATTTTCTGTTTCTCTAACCCGTTTCCTACCCAAGTTCGAGGTTGCTGGTTGTGGAATCTCTTTATCTTCTAGCTTAAAGCTTGCAAATTCAACGGAGAATTTCACTATTGCTTTGTTGCTTCTAAGCGTAAATGCTACAATGTCATACGCCTTAGCTGCCTCAATGTGTCACGACCCAGAATCCGTTAAAGGTCGTGATGGCGCCGGACACCACTGTCAGGCAAGCCAACACTACATAGTTAATTAAATTCTCATTTTAATATTTTTAAAATCATAAATATCATTCTTATTTAACTAGTAAAAAGATGATCTTTACAGAATAATTAATAATATGTTCAAATTTTAATACTGAGTATCTCATAATCATCCCAGAACTCGGTGTCACAAGTGCATAAGCATTTACTAAAAAATAAAATAAAATACAATAACTGTCCAGAATACAATTTGGACGGAGAAGAAAATACAAGTACTCTGAAGGAGACTCTGCTGGTTGCGGATCATCCCATAAGATGCAGCACACCTAAGTCCCCGTATCAACTACGCCGCTGCCCCCACAAGGCCACTACACCTAAGATCTCAACTTTTCCTCAATTTCATCTCCTTTCAAAACATTTAATAAGCAATCCCATCTCGCTCCCTCTCAAGGCAAATAATAAACATAAATCAATAACAATATCAATCAGGCACGATGTAAGCCTAAAACTACCCGGACATAGGCATAACTAGTAGCTACATACGGACTCTCATCACCACGTGCGTACGTAGCCCCCACAAATAGAAGCACATAACAATTTAGTTCAAATATGGGGTTAATTCCCTCTTACAAGGTTAGAAAGGAGACTTACCTCGCTCCGAAGTTCTAGAACCGGCTCCCAAGCCCTTCCGACGACTCAGACCGATGCCCAACGCTCCAAACTAGTCAATAATTATGCAAACCCATTAATATATACTCAAATACTCATTATAATCCTATTTACAACAATTCCCAATTCCGCTCGAAAAGTCGATAAAATCACCCTCGGGCCCACGTGCCCGGATTCCGAAAATTTTTGAAGATAAACTTTACCCATAACATTACGAACTCAAATATATTATTTATTCCAAATTCCATTTCTAGACCCATGACTAAAATCCAAAAATACATATTTCTAGGTTTTCTACCAAAACCCCAAATTTTCACAAACTTTACATGTATAATTCCATATACAAGCCATGTATTTAACTCACTATGTGCGGGAATTACTTACCTCATAATAGATGATGAAATCCCCTTTTCAAAGGCTCCAAGGATCGCCCAACCAAAGTGAAAATGTGAGAAAAATGAGCCAAAAACCCGTATTTTATAAAACACACTGCCCAACCTGACCACTCGCACCTGCGGTCAACCATCCGCTTCCGCTTTTGCGGCCTCTTCTTCTGCACTTGCGGTTCTTGCCGCTTCTACGGCTACTGACATCGCACTTGAGCCATCGCAGGTGCGCACACTTTTCCGCTTCTGCGGTTCCCAGCGACCTTGACTCCTTCCGCACCTGCGAGCCATCTCCCGCACCTGCGGGCTCGCACCTGCGGCCCTCTTCCCGCAGGTGCGGTTGCACCAAATGCCCAGCTGCTTCAGTTCTTCCTCAACTTTAAATTTCAATCTGTTAACCACCCGGATTCCATCCGAGGCCCTTGGGACCCCGTCCAATCACACCAACCAGTTTCAAAACAAAATGTGGACCTGCTTGAGGCCTCAAATCACATCAAACAACGCTAAAACCATGACCGCACTACAATTCAAGCTTTATGAACGTTAGAACTTCAAATTTCTTCATTCGATGCTGGAACCTAGCAAATCACGTCCGATTGACCTCAAATTTTGCACACAAGTCACATTCGATATTACGGACCTACTCCAACTTTCGAAATCGGAATCCGACCCCGATATCAAAATGTCCACTTCCGGTCAAACTTTTCAAAAACCTTCAAATTTCTAACTTTTAGCTAAACGACTCCAAAATGACCTACGGACCTCCAAATCCACTTCCGGATGTGCTCCCATTACCAGAATCACCATACGGATCTATTCCCGGACTCAGAATCCCAAACAGACATCGATAACATAAAAATGCACCTCAACCTCAAATTCATGAAACTCTTCCAAAATGCTGACTTCCACAATGGGCGCCGAAATGCTCCTGGGTCATCCAAAGCCCGATCCGAACATACGACCAAGTCCGAAATCATCATACGACCTGCTGAAACCTTCAAATTCTGATTCTGAGGTCGTTTACTCAAAAATTCAATCTTAGTCAATTCTTCCAACTTAAAGCTTTCGAAATGAGGATTTTCTTTCCCAATCAACTCCGAACTTCTCGAAATTCAATTCCGACCACGCGTACAAGTAATAATACCTGAAGTGAAGCTACTCATGGCCTCAAACTGCCGAACGACGTGCTAGAGCTCAAAACAATCAGTCAGGTTGTTACATTCTCTCACACTTAAAGATACGTTCGTCCTCGAACGTGCTAAGAACTGCGTTGTTGTTGTCTGAAATCACCGTTTAACACCTACCCGTGCCACCACAACTCAGTTGAGCACATTAGCTCGAGCTAATCTAAGGATATTCCCCCTTACTCAGCCAAATGGGCTTAGAGCCTAATTCCAATATCTGGGGTTCTGTGCCAGGCTTGTTTCCATCATACGAACCCTTTATCAATCTCTATGCGATGCACCAATACATGATTGCATGCCTTTGCTGAATCCACACTATGCATTGCATAACCCACATAACCATAATAACATCCCCTGATAACAATAGCCGAAATTTCACGAATCTGATGCTCACAATGCACCTCATGGCATATATAAGCCTTGTTCTAACTCTTGCAATACCTCCACGATGGAAAAGATGTGTAGAAATTTATAACCAATTGCCGATCAACAAATCGTTGAGTCTCTCCTCCTGACAGGAACCATTACCTCATTATGAACCAAATAACAATATTTGCTCTTAAATATGCTTCATATAATCCGATCGCATTGATCCCAGATCCAATAATCTCGCCTCACCCAATACAAGTTCCTCAGGCAATAAGCCACCTCGGACACGACCAAAAGTCTAATATGATGCCACAATGTGCCAACAAGCTACCACTCGAATGTGATACATAAGGAGAACGGACTCTGGAAAGGACTACTCAACCCACGTACTAATTAGACAACCGAAAAGGTTTTATGAACCTTCTTCAGAAAATGGGAAACAAAACACACAAGAATAGATATAGGGGACTGTACTCAACATCACACTGTTGCGGCGTGCAACCCATTCCAAACAATATACCAGTGGCGGTGTGCCACCCGATCCACACAAAAAATCTACATAAGATACCTACCGAACTAGAATGCTCATAACTACGAAATAACCGAATATTGGCCACAAACGCGCCAAGCGCATAATACCATCCCCAGGGAGACAGATAGCGCCATATGCTGCAAAACTCAAGCACAACTAAGGTGCGATATATGATCTAAATCTCGATAGCCATCTTGCTCACATAACACAATCGCTATATGGAACCTCAACATACATGAAATTTATCAAGCCGTTTCACGACTCACATGGCACAATATAGTATTACATGAAATAGCCGACGACGAAATAACATGCAACGTCTGAATACTCCTCCATAAGGAGTGCTATGCTAAAATGAATACATCCGACCTGATATAGAGCCCACGGTCACATTTAGATCCATCCACAAACCTCAAGCCGATTCTGATCGTACTGCACTAGGCTAGTAACCTTTCAAGGATTCACAATAACCTTCTTTACCATGACACACAAGGACACCCGTCGATCCGGAACAAACTTCCACAGTCCACAACCAAATGAACCGAGCGCCCTTCAGGCATAAATTCTCACATGAACGATAGTACCAAAATCTCCGTACTTGGTTCCAACCTTCGATCAATCAAGCAACTACCACTACTGGAAAATGGACCTATGGAAACAGTCGTTTTGGCAACGGTGTGAAACGTTGCCATAGAGAGGTTATAGTAATGGTTACAACCGTTACAATAGAATTTGGGTGGTATTAGCACACTTTAGCCATCAAACCGTTGCAATTGTAACAAAACCGTTGCCGTAGAATTTTTTTCCGTAACGGATGTGTAAACCGTCCTAATAAACATATTTATGGCAACGGTATTGGGGAAAAAACTTCTATGAGAACGGTTATTCATTCCCTCCTCATTTTTTCCCGCTAAATTTGCTGAGCCCGCCAAATCAACCCTCATTTTATATATTTTAAATAATTTTAATAATATAAATATAAAATT